GCTGGCTGAATAATGTACCTCCCCTTCCTTGGATCACTTCTGTCCTCCCCTACCAGTCTGCCCTGCACCTTCCCAATAAAATCTTGTGCCCAAATCACTGCTTCAGGGTCTGCTTCCCAGAGGACCCACACTAACCATCACGTTCAACTGATTAGACAAAGATTGAGCCTTGATCCAAGACAGCCACCAACCTTTGGCCAGAACGCCACTCTGCACATGATTATGATTAAGCAAAGCCACCTGATGCTTTTTCTCAGGGAGCAGAGAAGAAACTAAAGGAAGAGAAAGGAGACAACAATAGATGGGCTGGATCCTGGGAAAGGTGGCCTGTGGCATCCCGAGGGAGGCTGATGGCAGCTCTGCAATTTCCTGGGTATGTGCCTGTCTCTGTGCAGTTTTATGCCAAATTCCACCACCTGAGTCAAAGCATGGTGATCCTCACAGTTCTAAGAAGTCCAATTCGCATAGACATCAGGGTCAGATGGACCCAAGTTCAGATCCGTTCTGTGTGGTCTTCAGCAGATGGCATAGAGCCTCTGAGCCTCAGTTTCCTTAGTTCTGCATGGGATAATACTAACTCTCTTGCAGGTTTTTGTGAGGGTTAGATAAACAGATGCTAAGCAAGCCGGTACATAGTTTACTGTCAGTAAACAGTACATAGTTTACTGTTGTCCCTTACCTGAGATCTTCCACAGGTACTGGCGTCTACAAATAGTTCCTGTCTTCTGGTCACCATGGCGACCCCAGACAAGCTCATAAATTTCCTCTAATGAAGCTGAGATATTTTCACTTTTCCCTGCTGTGCTTGTCTGTGTCTTGGATAGATTAAAAACTCCCAAAGGAGTCACATTTTAGAGTATGCAGTCTGGCCATTTATAATCCACATCATCTACTGTGATATGGGCAAAAACAGTCAAATAGGAAAAATAGAAATGGTTCAATTTAGTCTTCCCTGAGCACAAAGGTGCCTCTATATTTTAGATGGTTCAGGGAACACCTAGAGGGAGGGAATGAGAATAATTGTTGGTTTTAGAAGGAAGATCAGCCTTTGGCCAGTTGGTGTAATTCAAGAGACCACCAAGCTAGCTGCCTGCCTTGATGCCTTTCATTCTGCCTTCCCTTCAGGTTTATAATTAATTTCAATTCCTCTTGAGTACCTGATCATAGCAGGTCCTGAGCTAAGCAGGAGGGTCCCAGATATGAAACTGGCTCACCATCCGCGACATCATTTGCCTTCTTCATAAGATGAAGGCATTAGACCAAGTGATTTTTAAATCCTTCTCATCTTGAAATTCTGTGATTTTTTATGACTGTGAGGGCAATTCTAGGAAGAAGCCCTGTGAAGAGAGGCTTTACTTGAAGATAAAGATCAGGATGGGAGATAATGGAAATATCATGGGTTTTTGCAAAGAATCTAAAATATTACCAGAATCTTCCCCTAAGTTTAAAAGACGATCACATAACTGGGACCCTAGCAAGTGAATAAGCTGCATCCACTGCTGAGATTCAGAATGTCTGGGCCAGACATCCATAGTCAGCTGAGCTTTAACATTTGCTTTGAAATGTGAATTTGTCCTAGTGCCATTGACACATTGGTGAATAATTTGAGCATAATACAAATGTTTATTTCATCCACAAGAAACCCTGGGTGAAGGCAGAACTCTGCACGCTCCTGAACCAACTTTGTGGTATCAAATAAAACACAAATCTGGACCAAGACAAGGAGACACTTTATTTGAAAGATTTTTGCAAGGGTGGTGAAGGAACAATAGCATTAGGGAGGACACTCCCACTGTGAGATCTGCAAGTCTCAAAGATTAAGCAAAAGGATTTTTCTTTTATGGAGAGAAGTAACCAATGTCCGAAAGAGCCAAGCATGGAGAGAAGGACGAAAGGCTGGCGTGTTCAAGACCCAGTAGCTGAGAGGATGTCAGCCTACACTCAGGAGGACCCTAAGGAGGGTCTGTACCTGGTGGCTCAGGTTGAGAGTGGGCCAACAAAGCTTAGGGACCTGGGGGAAGGAGAGAAAGCTTAACCAAAGTTTGGTTAACAAGCATTGTGTTCTGACTGATCAGTGGGACAAAACAACTCAACTAATCATTTATAAGGCAAAAAAAGGGAATTTGGAGGATCTGTGTCTGGCCTTACCATAGGTTAACAAGGGGTCATCTGTGAGTCTTACTTACCTAGGTCACATGGGAAGTGTGGCTCTCTGCAGTAAGCTGCTTCTGGAACACAAAGAGGAGAAGGGGGTTCTCTAGTCTTCCTTGTTTTCCAGGATCATAGGACTCCAGTTAAATTCAACATTGCCAGTAGGATTACACAAAACGCACACATACATACACCTCATACGTGACCAGCTGCCTGAGTTCTTCCCCGGATCTGGGGTTATAGGGGTCTCTCTGACTTCAGATAACCCCCCCTCCCACCACTTCACCATAACTCACAAGCTGTAACCTTCCCCCACTTGTACAAGCAAACTTCAGGTCTTTCTCAAGGTAAGGGGCCATGTGTATTGTGGTATTGATGTATTTCTTAACCATTTAATATGTGCAAGATTGTGACATCATTTTTATTAGGTTCCTTTCTTTTTTTTTTTTTTAATGTGTTACTGAAAAAGTTTTTGAGTATGGTGCCCTAAGTCCATTTTCCCCAACAGCCTGTGGTTCGTCATTGCACAATTTTACATCACACGATGATTTTCAGGAGCTCACATCGTGTTAGAGCAGAACTGACCGTATTGGCAATGGGTCCAAGGAGCTTCCTAGGAGGGTAAGCACCCAGAGCAATGCTCTGGAGTGAATGAAGCACATTCCAGGGAACGCGGGTCTCCCACATTCTCTGTGGCGCAGACTTCAGTGGAGCTGCTCTCCACTCGGGCCATGAAGGTTGTCATGACTCAAGACAGTTGGGTTGGGTGGGGGCTGAGATCCAGAGCTTACTCTGCCTGCCAAGCCCATCGCTCTGTCTGCTCAGAGGGAGTTCCCCGAAAAAGCAGGAGGAGAGTTTTTAATTGCATTTGGAATTGAGTGAGTTAATTAAATGAACAAGACTGTATCTTAAGCACCCAAATGAGACCCTACTAATAACCTAAAGAAGCGCTTCCAAAGCCCGTAGAGTTAATTCCCAGTCTTCTCAAACTGTTCCCAAAAGATGATATTTATTAATCACTCGTGGCCCCAGGCAACTGGCCAGGAGCTCTGACTGTCCCAGACCCCACCCAGGCTGCTCTGAGGGTTCAGGGGACCCAGTGTCCCTGTGCCTTCAGAGTCCAGTGTGCCACGCGCAGCTTTGACCCAAAGAGAAGGTAAAATTGAAGAATCTTACCACACTGAAATCATGGGACCACGACTAGATGGGAAAGGGGGAGGGAGAGGGAAAGAGAGGTATGTGACAGTTGAAGCACCTACTCGAAGAAATAAAGCTGTTTCTTTATTAAGGTAACCACGCATCTCAATGCAGCCGGATAGTCCTGGTTAATGTGACCCCTTTTATTCTCTAAAGGGTTCCACTCACCCTATTTATATTCCAAAAAGTTGAGACTCCTTAATATTTGGCGAAACTGTGGTATAATGAGAAATATATGTTTGGTCTTTGTCCCTGGTATCTGGCATAGAGATCCTAAACCCCTTGCAATTTCCTGAGTGATAGGAGCATCTTTTATTATTCATAATGACCCCTTTTCAACCATACCTGAGTTTATGCTAATAAGGTGAGTCTTTGGTGGGCCCCTAGAGAGCTTCAGATGGAGGCTGGTCCCCAGAGAAACCAACCATGTGATGATAGAGTTAAAACTTTCAGCCTGGGAACCCTCGGGTTGGAACTCTTCCTCTGGGAAAGGGAGAGGGGTGGTCTATTACGTTCAATCACCAATGGCCAATGATTAATCAATCATGCCTGCAAAGGGGAATTTCCATTAAAACTCCAAAACCAAACCATGGGATTTGGGAGCTTCTGGGTTGGTGAACATATCTAAGTGCCAGGAGGGTGGCACACCCCATCTTCTTGCACTCTGGAGCCTTCAGAATTTCACTTATATACCTCTTCATCTGGCTGTTTCTTTGTGTCCTTCATAAGAAACAGTAACAACATTAAGTATAGCATTTTCCCGAGTTCCGTGAGTTATTTTAGCAAATTAACAAACCTGAAGGGAGAGAGCTTGTGAGAGAGAGCCTCTGAATTTGGAGCCAAGCCAAACAAAAGTGGGGGTAGCCTGGGGCCCCCCCAGACTTGTGACTGGTGTCTGGAGTGGAGGCAGTCTCATGGGACTGAACACTGAAACCTATGGAGTCTAGTTCTGGGCAGTTAGTGTCAGAATAAGATTGAAATGTTGCACACCCAGTTGCTATCTGAGAAGCAGACCCAGCCATTTCAAGGTTTAATTCTAGCCCCCTCTAGAAGACCTACAGTCCCAGACAAATGGTTCGGGACAGATCTGAGTGGCAAATGCCAAATCGAAAATCGCCCCTCCCCCTCAACAAGAGCGGCAGTGATCCTGGGCCACGTGCCTCCCTGATAGGCAACAGGGCTGCCATATTGCACCCCTCCTCGGGCACCATTCACTGTGTTTCATGTGGAGGTGTGGACCCCATCTTCTTTAGCTCCTACGAAGGAGGAACTCAGGACCACATTTCTGGCACCCTCTCTGATCACTTCTGACTCTGCATCTCTTAACAATTTTCTTTTCCCCGGCTCAGGTAGTAGACGAGAAGTTTTGCAAACCAGCTGGCTAAATAGATGTCTAACTGTGCAACAAAATGCCGGTGCCCTTTGTTGCAAACACCCCAACTAGAGCCCTGTGCTTGTCTTAGTCTTTGAGAGGGAACGAGAGGGTCTCCCTGCCTGAATGCAACACTATCCACAAGGCCAGCCACATGCACCTCCTGCAGTCTACTTCTTCTATCTCTCGGGGAGGGTGTGGATCCATCCCATCTTTTCTCAGTAATATTTGTGGGGCCATGCACGCTCTGAGGAGGACATGTATCCACTATCACAGCAACATGGTTAACACATCTGCCACCGAGTCCCGCTCCTCCCAGGGAGGAGGGCTGAAGGTAACCAGGCCTCTGTTCATTCGTAAGCACACGTGAGACTCCACAGGGGCCTCCAAGAAACATTAGGGGAGACGAAATGTCACTGGGCTCTGGGGTCCTGCATTAAAAATTGAATTATCGGGGCGCCTGGGTGGCTCGGTCGTTAAGCGTCTGCCTTCGGCTCAGGTCATGATCCCAGGGTCCTGGGATCGAGCCCCGCATCGGGCTCCCCACTCAG